GACCTCTGACCTTTGTGCCTTTCAGCTGCTGAACTTCCCTCTGGGAGACTGTCCCCGCTACAAGCAGCTGATGAACGAAACCGAGCACACAGAGGAGTTCATTAATGTCACGTTAACCTATCAGGTGCTCAACCCTCGTCCTATTAGTGTCCCCCGTCGTTTAACTCACTGACTGGCAGCCATTTTCAGAACAGAGAGTCGCTCACTGCCAGAGTTTTTTGAGCATTTTGACTGATTTTTCAAGAGCAACAGAATAGTTTGTGCTATGACTATGTAAACACCGAACACGCCAAAAGAAAGAGTAGACTCTCTTCTTTCATCAGGAAAAAAAATAGTTTCTACCTTATTCCGTTCTTCCTCGACGTGCGTCTCACCGGCGCCATTTCTCGCATAGCGAACCATTGCGTTTGTTTTTATTTGCCTACAATCTATGCTAATCTCCCATCAAAAGTGGCACTGCCCCCTAGAGGGTCAATTTGTTACTACATACTCTGTCTGGAAGCCGATATTTACGGAAAAACTTTAGCCGATCGTACCCCAAGCCACTCGCATTGAAAAACATAAAAGACGTCTATAGACGTCTTTGGCAGCGAATGAGTTAAGAAGAGCAGATGTTTATCGAACAAAAGCAACGTTAAAACATACACGGAGATATTTTACTGCTTTAGTGAAATAAACTCTTCCCTATTTCCCCAAATGGCTGCAAAAACTGATCAGAAAAGGTCAGAACTCAGTAAAAACCGTTAAAAGCAGATAGCTGAACCCCCCAGAGTCTCTGCCTCTTTAAGGTGCTCTTGTTGTACTCCAGCCCCTTGTTTAGAGATGTTTCTTTTTTAAATTATTTCTTAAATGTTTTTATTTTTTCTTATTTTGTATTATTTTCATTTATTATTAATTTAATTAATTTTTTTACTTTTTATTTTTATTTATTATGTTTATTTATTTAAATTTTTATTATTTGTTTAATTAGATTATGTTTTTACTGTTTATTTTATTATTTTTTAAATTAAATTATGTTTTTACTGTTTTATTATTTTTATGATTCATTCATTTATTTTTATTTATTAATTTTTTTAGTGTTTCTTCCATTAAATTAAAGATAAGCTCAGTGTTAAAATGACGTTTGGTTTCGTTTAACTTCTCGTTTCCCCCCTTAACGGGGACCATTTTAAAAATGGCCGTGTGGCTAACATGAGTCCTCATAGCTGCTTGTTCCTGTTTACCGGCTCCTCAGGACGTCATCGAGCTGGTGAGGAATAAAACGGGCCTGGAGAAGACCAGCGTGGAGTCCGTCTGGAGCGTGTACGACACGCTCTTCTGCGAGGTCAGGATAGATATAATAAACACACAAATACTTACACACTTAGGTTATACACTTAGGTTTCCTCCTTCTGTCTGCTCCTTTCTACGCACTTCTGGAGGGCTTTTAATGCCCTGCAGCGCTGCACCACTACAGCTTTTTTTTGTTTTTTTTATTGTTTTATGGCTTTGTTGTAAAGCACTTTGAGTACCATTTGGGTATTGCAAAGGGCTATACAAATAAACTTGATTGATTGATTGATTGAAATATAATATATAATATCCTCCTGAGACCCAAAGAAAAAAAGTGTCTTCAAATTTCTTTTTTTTTGTGATTTTCCATGTATTTGGACCTAAAAAAGAACATTACAATTAAAATTTTTTTTAAATATTTTTAATTTTAATTTCATAGCATGTCCACTGTGGAGGACAACAGGACGATTTGCATGGGAAAATAGAACAGGCTTTAGATGATTAATTAATAAAAAAGAAGATGTCTTGAAAGGGATATTTACATAAGAACTCTTAGGAAAAAAGTAAAGTTCCCAGCATGCAAACCTATCACATGACACATCACTGGAAAGCCCAGGATGTCCTCTACAGAACACTATAGGGCTTGATAGGGTAACTCCAGATACTTAGGGGGGGTACAGGTGGACAAAATGTCCACTATAATGGACATAAATGAATGGGCCGGGTCTCAGGAGGATATACAGCCCTGCCCCCTCTGGCTGAAACCAGAAATCTTTCCTGATGCTTTTCCCTGTTTCTCCTCAGTCCCGCCACAACCTGTCGGCCCCCGCCTGGGTGACCCCCGACCTGATGGAGAAGCTCCGGAGGCTCAAAGACTTTGGATTCCAGGTGAGCGCCGCTCTGAAAACGTCCGTTTGGCTTCACAGAGTAGCCGTAACGCCCATGTGAAATGTTTCCAGATCACATTTGGAGTCTACAAAAGACAGGAGAAGAGCCGGCTGCAGGGAGGTAAGAGGGAGCCCCTATATTTTAGACGATTATTCCACTTTCTGAGCATTTAAAAAAAAAAATCATTTTAATAATAATAAATAAATAAATAATAATAACTTTAATAATCATTAAACTAGCTTTGACGTAACAGATATAGGACAGATACAGAACATTTTCCACTTAGAACTCCTTTTCTTTTTTATTTTTTGGGAGGGTTTAACAGAAAATTGGGGGGTTTTTGAGTTCCACCTCCATACAAAAGCTGGTTTTCAGTCCTGTCAGTCATGTGTTGTTGAGGGGCCAAAGAAAGACTTCAGACTAAAAAAATCCAATATTCTTCCTATTCTTCTTGGATCAGGCTTAAATCAGGGTTAAATGAATCTGCCCTCTTTTCTTTCAGGAATCCTTCTGGGTGAAATCGTGAAGAACCTCTCCCGGATGGCCGTTCCTGACCCGGGGCAGAAGCTCAGGATGATGATGCTGTCGGCGGTGAGAATCAGAATCAGAATCAGGTTTATTGCCAAGTAGGTTTTTAGACTTACAAGGAATTTGCCTTTTTGGTGTTTGGTGCACAACACAACACTTCAATGAGAAGCAAGAAATAAAATGTAAAAAATAAAAATATAGGACAGAAATGATAAAACTGAAACATACCATCTTTAAAAATATAGATCCGAATGTACAAATGAAAAATCTTTAAAA